GAGCGTGGCGCCGCGGGATCCTCCTGCCTGGACAATTAACATACTTGAGGCTGAGTCTTCACCGACCCCTCTTGCCTTTTTGACCCCGGCGAGACCCTCCCCTTCCTTTCCTTTTCATTTTATTGCTTTTTATTGTTTTCCTCCGGCCTTCCCCTTTCCCCTCCCTTACCTTTCTCTAGTTTAATTTGGAGTTAACAGCCTTCCCACTGTTTTTTACCTCCTCCCTCCCCGGCCTGGGATCCTCCTGGGTCCTGAGCCAAGCGGGGGTGGCTGGAGAGCCAGGACCTGGGAGGGGTGCCGCAGGGTGGTGGTGGAGGGGATTCTGTTGCCTTTGGTTTGAGACCCCAGAAGCGGTGGCACCAGTCTGCCCGTTGCACCTGCTGGGGAGAGGACTTTGACTTTCGGTGGCGGGTGGGTGATGAGCTAAACGCCAGAGCATCGATTTCTGGTTTATTTCCTATGACCGCTCCCTCATGCCTTGTATTTGAGTCCTTTGTAACCTCAAACGTGTGGAAGCCCTGCCAACCCTGATGCCTAGACCTTGAGATGTAACCGTGATGTGGTTCAGAACTCACGTGCGGAGAGCTGAGAGTGAGGGCCTGGCTTTAAAATCTTGCAATTTGGGGAATTTCACACACCTCCAGGCCAGGAGATTCCTGAGGCCGGACAGCTCCCACCTCTATTGGCACCTCTGGCAGACCGTCCCCTGTTGGTTCCCAGGGAGATGGCAAAGGCAGATGATAATCTTCCTTTTCCAGCCAGCTTCAGTCCCACCCACACACACCCCCCTCCATGAAGGAGGAAAGCCCTCCAAGATTGCAAAGGTTTCACACATGGCTCCTGATTTCTCTTCCTGATGTTTTTGTCTTTTGTTCTTAGCAGTGACTACAGGAAAAGCTTCCACCTCCCCATTAGCATGAAAGATAGGTTCCAGGAAACCCCTCCTGGTCCCATCTCTGCCCCCTGTCCCTCTCCAGGAGGGCCATGCTGACAGTTGAGGGGTTGTGGCCACAGGAAGTAGGCAGCTCTGTGACTTACATCTCAAGAAAATGAACGTTTACAAATGTTTTTAATGAATGTAACATACATAAGTAAAACTTTGAACAGCACAAAGGCTGTACAATGAACAATGGGTTTTCTGACACCCTTAGAACCCAGTTCCACTCCCAGAGACAACCATCAACCATTACTTGTTCATCTTTAAAGTTAATTTTGCACCAGTTTCTTTTTAAAATACAATGATTTTGTGTATTTCCTGTCCCTCCCTCTTTCACCCAACTAGATCTCGGGAGACTGGTTCGTATCAGAGCATTCATGTCTGGTTCACTTTTTTAACCAGTCCCTTGGTTGATAGCCAATAGTTGCTGCTAGCCTCATTATTTGAAACAGTGTAGTAGAGTATACTTTTATCCAAATGCTTCTGCAGGTGCGCTATCAGTAAATTTGGAGATTTGCGAGGTCAAAAGTTATGCCCATTTTAAATTCCAGTAAAAATTGCTTGATCCTTATAACACTACTAAAGCTTAAGTTGTTGAAGAAAATTTTTATTTCCTTTCCTAACTCATGTCCTCGCTTGATCCTTATAACACTACTAAAGCTTAAGTTGTTGTTGAAGAAAATTTTTATTTCCTTACCTAACTCATGTCCATCTAAGAGTTCAGGTTTAATCTAGTGGCATCTCAGATCTCGGGGGGATAGTGCCTTCGGCATCCCTTCATCTCCCCGCAAACCCCTAAAAAAAACCCACATTCAGTCATGAGTTGGTGACCAAATGGCCTTGTCGGTGCTTATTTATATATAGTGTCCATGCACTTGGCTCTGCTCCCCTGGCAGTGTGATGGTGATCGAACACAGAATCACTCTGAAGAGAGTTGAAGCAGCCAAAAGAATTGCCAAGGCTCTCAAGTGAGGCAGCAGAGAGGAATGTTCTGTCTCTCCCCGCCTCTGATGGGAGTGGGTGAAAGACAGAGACCGTCTAATCTGGAGGACTCCTCCTGACCCCAGCTTGAGGAGGCAGGGCCCTGTTTATCTGTCCCCCAGTGACACTGAGACTCATTGTCTGCCTGTCTTATTTTGTCAACTGGCAGACAGGACCCAGCCTACACCCGCACCTCCTTGCACCTCCTTTCGGTCCTCCTGGCAGCCAACTCTTAAGTGCTCTATTTAAAGCCAAGAGATGGGGTGGCCTGAAGGCTTCTCTTTCCCAAGCCTCGTCCTGATGTTTGGGAGGGCCTGGGCCACTCTCAATCCAGATTCCCATCCCTGATCACTTAGTTTGTCTCCTGGAACCCAAAATGTTGAGGCACAGGCACAGGAAGTGATTTACTCACTTCCTCTTCCAAGGAAGCTCTGTGTCAGTGTAAGTCTGGCTTCTCTCTGCCCCCAGGAAAGAAGGGGGCCAGGGGCTAGGGTTGGGAGGAGGGGTACACTACGCCAGGAATACCTGCCTCCGTCCCCCTCCCGCATGGCCTCCTGTCTTCATGACCAGGAACATGGTCATTGTGGAGGACCAGAAGCTCATCAGGGGTGGCCCAACGGGCGATTTGTTGACGTGACTACAGGGGAGATTTGGGTGTACTAAAGGGGGCCAGGGCAGTTCCAGCAAGCTGAGAGGAAGCAGTAATGGCAAGATGACTCATTCAAGGAATTGGCTTTGGCTTCTGGGAGGGAGCTGGAGACTGCCATGTAATCCATTAACCATTCGTCTACCGCGGGGGTTTTAAAAAGCCACCACGTGCTCCACTGTGGGGCTCTCACAACAGGGAAAGACAGAAGAAAAAGGGAGGCTTCTGGAAAATACATGGCCTCAGGATGCATAGTTTTAATTGATGATTTGACCCCCAAGTGAATTCTCTGGGCCAGAAGATGGCAGAAGCCGGTTTTTGGAGGCTCTAGGAATTGCCTTAGGTCCCTCTGGATTGGAAGCAAAGTGCTTCCCCAAGCAAGGCCGGCCTGCTCACCCACCAGCCCCGGGCATTCTGAGACTTCCAGAGGCCAGGTTGTACTGGGTTCTTCCCCACTGAGTGTACTGGGCCTGAAAAGCCTTATCTGTATGTATACACTCATATTTCTGTGACTTGGTTAGAGGTACTTTTTTACCTTAAGCAACCCATTTGGAGAAGTTTAAAGGTAATATTAAGAATGTTTACAGAATCGTACCTGTCAGTACAGCAGTTTGAGGGCATGCGGGGAACAGAAAGTTCAGGAGGGAAGGGTAATAAGGAAATATAAATGGAGGGTAGGTGTTAATCCAGGGGACAGTTTTGATTTATGGGGGCTGAGATTTAAGTTCAGAAGGCCCCATTCCTGCAGTTTGGTTTGGAAGGTAATAACCTAGATTGATTGCTCTAAATTGGATCTACGGAGAGAATTGTCAGCAGTGTTCTTAGCACCTTAGGAGTGAGAAAGGCCAGGGCTGTTTTATTGCCCTGAGTTTAAACCTCATATTAGACCCCATTCCCTTATGAATGGAGGGGGTTTCCTCTATAATTCAGTTTAGAGCTGATGAGCTAGGGAAGAAACAGACTAGTTTTGGAGTCTCCTTCTTGAAAATTAATGAAATTCTGCATAATCACACCTGCATTTTAGATAAACAGGAGAGAAAATAGCTTTGGTTTTCTGGAGGGATTTGGTTAATATTTTCCAGATGTCGGATATATTTCCTTTTACAGTTTAAGCTGCTTCTGATAGACACAAAAAGTTAATCATTGCCTCTCTGACCTATAGCTTTTTAGAAGTGTGTGTGTGTGTGTGTGTGTAGATCCCATTTATATTCTATAAAGCTATTAGTTGGTTTGGCTCATTTTTCTATGTGACCAAAATCTATATTAGCCTTTTTTTTTTTTAAATTAATCCTCATCCAAGGATATTTTTCCATTGATTTTTAGGGAGAGTGGAAGTGAGAGGGAAAGACAGAGAGAAGCATCGATGTGAGAGAAACACATCGATTGGTTGCCTCCTGCACGCGCCCCAACAAGGGCCTGGGCCAGAGAGGAGCCTGCAACCCCGAGGTACGTGCCCTTAATCGGAATCGAACCCGAGACCCTTTGGTCCGTAGGCCAACATCTTATCCACTGAGCCAAACCAGCTAGGGCAGCCTAATATTTTTGACTGTTCCACACTCGGGGTATTGATTAGTTGTGGGCATTTTCTGACAGTCTGAGAAATCAATGCTTATGTCTGTTTGTCTTGTTTTTTCTTGTAGGGGGATATGAGACTTTCTACTCGGAATATCCTGATTGTTGCGTGGACGTAGAACCCATCTCCCAAGAGAAGATTGAGACCGAGAGAGCCCTCATCAGCCATTGTGGGAAACCAGTGCTCAGCATCAGCTACAGGCCAGCTCATGACCAGGTATGTGGAGTGGAAGTGCTGTCGCGGCTCCTGGCTCCCGTTCCTTCCTCGGCACCCTGACTCTTCTTCCTCTCCCTGCTCAGCGGCCCTGGTTGCTTGTTTTGCGGATCAGGGTTTTGGCAGAGCCCTCTAGCTGTAGAGAGCCTCTGTTGCTTGCCAACTTGAGTTTCCATCCAAGAGTAAACGGGCTTCCTTCCAGCAAACAAGCTGACAAGAGCAAACGAGCCACAGGATGCTCGACAGTTTCTGGAGAAAAGAGGAAGTGAACGATGTATTGTTATTAGTTGGCCTGGGAGGTGCAGAGAAGCTTCCAAATACTGGTTTAGGTTTCCCTGAAGATGTTTCAGAGCTGACTTTCAGGCTTCCTGTGTTGTTGTTCTTTGTAATTGTTCATGCTCTGCAGTTTCTGCACACCAGCCCAGTTAGTTAGTACCTGTCAAGGTGTGTCTTACTGGTATTTTAACTGAATGAGGTGGGAGTGGAGGGAAGTAGAAGGAGGGTTGTAGTGAAACTACAGTTTGGATGGCTAAGCAAGCAGGCTCATCTAAGGGTTTCTGATGCTTATAATTCCATAAATTCTGGAGCCAGAGGAGATCAAGTCATACTAGAGGACTGCGTGTTTCTATAAATGTGTGGGCTTTCTTTTTCCTTCAAAAATTGGACTTGGTGACAACTCAATAAAGGAAGCATAAAATAGAAAGGAGGAGGGTGAGGAAAAGGGAGGCAAGGACCCAAATCTGGCAGAAACCAGAGATCAAAACCCACCTTCCCAATTTTACAGAGGGAGAAACTTTCATGGCTGGTGAGGTGTAATGGATTTGCCAGAATCCTACAGCTGGGTCCATGGCAGCACTAGACCCAGAACCCCCTTCTCTCCCTTCTCTTAACTCCCCTTTCTGGTTCTTTTCAGGGCCCTGTTCTGTTTCCCACACATCTTCTGGAAAAGGGTCCTTCTGATTTGGTGGGAGGGTCAAAAAACCCCCCCCCCCCCAATTAAGAACATAATCCAAAATCATAAAAAGGAAGATTTCAAATGCCGCCTAACCTGCCAGCTGCCTGCCATGAGCAGAACTCTGCCCTGGGGATAAATTCCAAGTAAAGCCAGGTGACCTTTCCTTGGATGGGATCGTTGGTCAGGAAGCCTATTAGCTTGGTGTGGTGCCAGGGTTTTTATTTTGTTTGTTTTCCTTTATCAAAAAATACACTCTGGGATGAACCCTCAGCTTACAAGCCACGGGCATCCGGCTTAGCTAGATTTCTATTTTTGTTTTGTTGTTTGGGTTGTTTTTTTTATCCTTGTTTCTCAGAAAATGAAAGAGAAACAAGAATTTGCAGGATGTTGTAAAAGTGCCACAGACCTTTGGCCCACCGATGACTGGGGAGGCCCTGCTGTGTCTCCAGGTTCCTCTGGGGAACCCCCTAGCACTGCTTCCTAGAAGCCGGGCGAGGCCCTGTTAACCTTTGGGGTTTCTGTAGGCCCTTGGCCTCTTCCTCTTGACTCTAAACAAGATTCAGAAAAGAAAAGAAACAGTTTCAGGGGTGTTGGGCTAAGCTCCATAAGAAATTGGATAGGATTCCGAGCCTGGTTGTCAGTGTTTTCCAGGCACTAAGATGAGACTATAGGTGCATCTAACTAAAGTGTTAAGCCCAGAGGGCAGCCACTATAAGTCCTAATAAAAATAGTCATTGTTACTATTAATACCTTTTGCAAAATCTTCTGTAACAATGATTTTCAACCTTTTTCATCTCATGGCATTAAATAAATTAATAAAATTCTGTGGCACCTGAAAAAACATATTTTTTGCTGATCTGACAAAAAACATAGGTATAATTTTGATTTTACAAAATAATAATAATAATAATAATGGTAATTACCTGCTTTTTTTTTTTCTCCAAAGTGACTTTTTAAAAAATCAGGTGCTTTATAAGGATTTCTGGTACCAAGAATTAGCCAGTCAGATGCAACCTTATTATTCGATGTGACCAATATGATGCAATATGGCCTATATAGTTATGGTTCAAGACAGGGCGTGCACACCAGACGGCTATTGTGTTGGCTGTTGTCAATTTTTATTTGACAATCTAAGGGAAGACAGGTCAGTGCCCCTGACTAAATAGACAGGTATGGCATGTTTTAAAAATGCTTGTGCCACACCAGTTGAAAATCACTGCTCTAGAACTTTCTTACAAGTGGCCAAACTGGTCTTTGCCTAAACACTTGACTTCTCAGGAAAGAAAAGGCAAATACCACATGCAGGGTAGTGTGAGCATTGCCTGCTGCTGGCCCTCGTCCCGTGCTCCTTTTCCGAGTATGGGTCTGGCAGAGTTTCCATTCTGCGCTTGTTCCAGCACAGGAAATGGAAACACAGGAAGCGGATGGATGATGTGGAAAAGGCTCCCAAAGACAGCCACTGTCCCTCCAGCCCATTGTTTCCCTCTAAATCTCCAGGGAATCCCATTGTTCCAGCTACCGCTGACTTTTGTTTGTTTGTTTATACACTGAGAGTATTTATTTATGCACCCAGGAAGCTGGCCCCTAAACTTAAATATCCAGCACAGAGCCTTGTCCCTCCCAGCTGTGGATGGGTGCAAGAATGGGTCCTAGAGCCCTTGTCTAGGGCAGTGGAACCCAGGGACCAGGGTGGGATGCTTCTGAGCCAGCAGTTGCCAACAGCAACAAAAGGAAGAAAGGAGATGGGAGACCTGGAAATGTTAAGACTGCCAGGGTCTGACCAGCTAGGAGTTCTTTTTAGCTTTGCCTCAGGGGGTAGGTAGGTGATCTCTGGTTCCAGTGGAGTCCTCCTTAACTAGAAACCTGATATGTGGGTGGTCTCCCACAAGAAAGAGGATATAAGCATCTCTTACCAAAACCTGCTGCTCCACATGAAGATGATCAGAGGTGGGGGAAGCCCCTCTGCTCATGGCCTAACAGCTTTTCTTTGTCTGAGGATTCTGGGTAGATAGTGACTATTTTCACTTCGAAGAAGCAACTTTTTAGAGGGCCAGGGAGCGCATTTTAACATCTCTGGTCCTAGTGGGTGCTGGTGCTGGTGGTGGTAGTGGTGAAGGGGGCAGATGATGATTTGGGTGGTGAGCACACAGTGCAATATACTGATCTTGTAACATAGAAATGTGCACCTGAAACCTGTATGATCCTGTGAACCAATGTCACCCCAATAAATTTAATTGAAAAAAAAATAAAAAGTGTCCTGGGTTTGATGAAATACACTATACAAAACGTCAGGACTAAGTGGCGGGGGGCTCACCTATTGAACCCTTTTCCATTTTATCTAGAAAGAAACCAAGGCTGCTCTCCAAGTTGAAGGGCTTGCGCTGGTGCTCTCAGGTCTGCTAGAACTTCAACACACGTATCTCCATCCCCCCATCACACCCACTGCTTCTCATCCTCATTAGCACAGGAAGGCTCTGGCACTTCCTACCTCCTCACTATGTGTAAGAAAATGAAAATCTTCACCATGTAGGTTTTGCCGTCACTGAGTCACCAGCAGTAATGTAGGGTTAGAGAGCCTGCCAGGATGGAGGCTTCACCCACACTCTTGGTTGAACGGCCTTGGCTCTGAACTCTCTCTACCTGGAAACCAGGAAGGGAACCTCCCACCTTAACACAAATAGGTCAGGGTTGTTTTGTTTCCTCTCCCAGGTGAGCAGGCTAATCCAATATTTCCTGCTTGTCCTTTGCCCCTGCTTCCAGGGCGGCCCAGTTGAAATCCTTCCGTTCCTCTACCTTGGAAGTGCCTACCATGCATCCAAGTGCGAGTTCCTCGCCAACCTGCACATCACGGCCCTGCTGAATGTCTCGCGGCGGACCTCCGAGGCCTGCATGAGCCACCTACACTACAAATGGATCCCTGTGGAGGACAGCCACACAGCTGACATTAGCTCCCACTTTCAAGAAGCAATAGACTTCATTGGTAGGTTCAGCCATTCCCCTCTGCTGTTCTGGGCGCCTTGTAGGGACATAAGGTCTTGGATTTTGATGGACTGATGGCAGCTACCATCAGGGAGAAGAAAAGTCTCTTCTGTATGCAGTCATCGAGAGTTGGAGCCAAGACAAGAGACAGCCACCCAAAAGGCAGAGGGGAAGATTTGAGTTGCTATTAATAGGATCTTTAATTTGCACGATAAATTAATATAATTTTATGGCAGTATTCAACTGCCGCCCTCATTACGGTTTCTAGCTGGGCGGGAAGCACAGCGTGTCCGTGCGAAATCTCCACACAAGGGAAGCAGGGGCGAGAAAGAGTCATCCTCGCTGTGCTTCTACGCAGGTTGGGATATTTTTAAATGCAGACAGAAGGATTGAGAGAGCACTACTTACGCACTAAGCCCCAAGGGCCCTGGCAGCTTTCCACAGTTTTTAACAAGCTTTGGGGGGCAATTTGTTTTGCATTTCCAGCTAATTTTGGATTAAAGATAGCACTTGACTCAAGCTCCATGCTTTGTGCACAGAAAAGTTGGCATCTTTTGCGTCCTTTCTCTATTCTGTGAGTCAGTTACCCATTTTCTCTGCTGTGTAGGCCTGGTAGCCTCTGTTCCCTTGGGCCTTGGGTTTCCAGCTCCTCCATGTAGCTTGATTGTTCTCCCCTTTGACATCTCTTTCCCCCATTCCTCCTCCTTGGAGGCTGGGTTGACTTTTTTTCTGTCTCAAATTTGCAAGCCCCACTCTCCAACCTTGTGGCCTTGCCTTCTAGGTTCCAGGGTCCTCCTTTCCCTTGAGCATGCATAGCGATTGCAGCTGAGATGTGATTTTCCTGTATCTTGTTTGGGAAGGATCTTGGCGGGGGAAAAGGCAGGTGTCGGGCACAGCAGTCATTACTTAGTGTAGGTAGCAATTAAAGGGCCCCCCGCAGCCACATGATGGCCCCCTCTGCTCATCACACATGATTTCTGCTTCATGTGAAACCATCCAGAAACTGACCAGAGGCAAAAGGCTAAGCCTGTCCCCTGAGCGACTCGGCTGAGAAGGTTCCTTTGGAGTCTCAGAGAGGCAGCCTCAGTGGTGGGTTCAGGGTGGGAAAGCCTTGACTTGTTCCCCCTGCCCCTGGGAATGCCTTGCCCTTCTCAGCCTGATAGCTACTCAGTGAGGTCATGAAATCCGCCCCCATCCATTTCTCAGAAGGCTCCCTCCCCATCCTGGGTGTGTATTGTGTCCGTTTGTATACACAAACATACACACCCACAACTTTATGAGAGCACAGGATGCTTGTCCCCAGTCTCCTTGCCCTGCTCGTGGAAGGAGAGACTGAGGCTGAGCCATGCCCTGACCCCTTCCAAGGGGAATGCCACAGGAGTACCACGTGGAAGACAAGCCCCGAAGGGTAGAGTGGGATCCCGAAGGCCTTTTGCTTTTTTTGAATGTGGTATTGGGCCAATTAAAAACTAGACTACAAGGAGGCCAACAAAGGAGCAAAGGAAAATGAGAGTCATGACCCTGTAATGCTAGGGACTTGGGGTCCCCTTTGAACTAATTTGCAGGTCTTTTTCCTTTTGAGTCAGAGACTGAATTGGGGGCACCTCTAATAAGCTACAGCGGGGTGTTCTTAGATGGGGAAACTCCAGGGTTCCTCTTTGACTCCTCAGAAATTTGATCTTTCAGCTCTTGCAGATTCATTTGCAAACTCCTTGAATTTGAGGAGGGAGGTGGGTGAGAGGGCTGATTTTTTTATTTGTCCTTCAAAATCTTAAATGTTTTTGCATACCATGGCTTTACATAGTGCCACGTACATCTAACTTCCGGTGATGTAATTGTTTTTTTAGTAGCAAGAGAGGGACTTGGAAAGACTATATTTTTAGTGGTTTTTATTTTTCTTTGATGTGTATTTATGTTTAACCTTTGACCCCTTCCCATTTTTAACAGTTGTAGCTCTTTGGGGGCAGGAGTGGAACAGAAGAGGAGGGCACCACCCTACCTTCCCTTTTGTCATATTGAGCTAAAAGAATTCTAACTGATGGTGGTAGCTTTATAGCAATGACTCCCATTGTTGTGCAAGATGGAGTTTGCGAAAAGCCATTTATATCCATCTAGTCAGCATCACTTAGCCAGGGCTATAATTATTGGCTCTGCACTATATATTGTATGTTTGGTAGTGGGAACCCTGGGAGTTGAGCCAAGCATCCTGCCCTGGCATAGCCAGACAGGGTGCCTGGGAGGCCGGAAGGCGTCTACCAAGATGGGGGGACTAGGTCATCACCATTACACTCAGGCCCTGAGAGGCAGGAATTGCTTCTCTAAGTCAGTCTTTGAACCTGGGACTCTCTCAGAAAAGAAATGTGTGCATACCTGATGAAAATTGGCTTGCAATTTCAAGGCTTTTCCAATGCCCTCTTGAAACCCATCCATGTTAGGGTGCCATCCTCAGGAAGGGGTTACTCCAGGTCTAGAACCTTCAGTGGTAGAATCTGTGCAAGTATCCCAGGGCACTGGGAAGCAGCTCTAAGGATTGGAAAGGCCCTACATTGGGAAAGACATTGGTGAGGCCCCAGAAGCTCTGTCCTCACCAGTGGGGATTAAAGACTGGCAGAAGTCTGATGTAGGACTACAGCTATTGCACAGTCATGATGGTTTGAGAACTAGGTCACTTCTGTGTTTAATTCTTGTGTTTGGCATTGCCTTTGGGTTCTAATCCCAACTCAATCCCACTGTCTTTTCTTCCTTCCAGACTGTGTCAGGGAAAAGGGAGGCAAGGTCCTGGTCCACTGTGAGGCTGGGATCTCCCGTTCACCCACCATCTGCATGGCTTACCTCATGAAGACCAGGCAGTTTCGCCTAAAGGATGCCTTCGATTACATCAAGCAGAGGAGGAGTGTGGTCTCGCCCAACTTTGGCTTCATGGGCCAGCTCCTGCAGTATGAATCAGAGATCCTGCCTTCTACGCCTACCCCCCAGGTTCCCTCTTGCCAAGGGGAGGCAGCCAGCTCTTCCTTCAGAGCCCATTTGCAGACACTGAGCCCTGATGTACAGGGTTCCTACTACACATTCCCTACCTCAGTGCTGGCGCCAGTGCCCACCCACTCGACGGTCTCAGAGCTCAGCAGGAGCGCCATGGCCACAGCCACATCCTGCTAAAACTGGATGGGAGATCCTGCCCAGCCCCAAGAACAACTGTGATTTTGTTTTTTAAACGTGGACATTTCATACCTGTGCAATACTGAAGACCCCCTCTGTCCCCCTCTTCCAGTGGGATAGCGAAGGGTCCCCAGGCTTGCAAACGAACTTCAGACTGACCTCGGGGTAGGTTCTCGGGACCGAAGGAAGGCCAAGCCATTATGAGAGCACAGCTTGTGCTGACTACTGTACTTCCAGACCCCCCTGCCCTCTCAGGACTGCCCAGTCCTGGCACCTCAAAGTTCGCCTTTTCATTTCAAGCGTAAGGCAATAAACACCTGCAGCAACATGGGAGAAAGCAGCTGCTAGACCTGGAGAAAAGGCAGTCAAGAAGCCAATTCATTCTGAAGGAAGCACAATTTCCACCTTACTTTTTGAACTTTGGCAGTCTCCGTGTCTGTCTCTGTCGCTTCAGGGAATAAGCTGACCATCTAGTCAGGAAAGTAACCCTATAGGGTTTGTAGGGACCCCATATATATGCTGATTTGAACCCTCATATCTTCTTGAGATTCCCTCTTGGGTCCCACAGAGGCAGTTTGTTGAAGTAGCGAGATGTTGACACTTCTGAGTTGCCTTTTCACTGTGGGTTCTTCCCTGACTTTGGACTTCGGCATGACTCTTACTCATACTTGAACCTTTCTTGTTACACCTCTACTCAAAGCAACTCTTGTGCCATTTTGAAGAGAGTTCCTTAGACCATAGACCAAAAATCACCCGTTTGAGGTGGTGGCGTGGGTGCCAGGAGAAAAGGGTACCTACTGTCTGGGTGAGTGTCATTGACACGGTCTTTTTCCCCAGCTTGCCGTCCTTATATGTGCTTGTCTCGTCTCTTGTGACACTTGTTTTTTCCCCCCTACCCCTGGAGATTGTCTTCAAGATGTTGACTTCTAGGATTTGTAGATTTCGTAGTGTGGTACTACTTTATATTTTGTCTAGGTTATTTCTCCAGGGGAAAAGGCAATAATTTCCTAAAATCCATACAAATGTGAAGAAAAGCAGTATGTAATTGGTCGTCATTGTCGTTGTTTTTTTATAGTGTTAAATAAAAATAGTAAAAAGAAAAACTTCTCTGTGTTGATGAATTGGGTTAAGGGAGGAATAAATACATTTAGGGTGCAACGAGCCTGCCCTCACTGGGTTGATTTCCAAAGAAACTCGAAGGTGATGGTGGTGGATTGTAGCTGTAGACGTGAGTCTGTGCATCCACTCACGAGCTAGCGGTCATAATACAGAATATGATGCTTTCCATTTGAGAGGCTTCCCTAAACTCACTTGCAAGAGAAGTCCTTGGGTGCCTGCCACACGGTGAGGTGATCAGCATGTCCACTCACTCTGGGCTCCTCTCTTCCATGAGCCCAGGCAAGGAATTTGACTTGAACCTCAGATTCTTCATCTATAAAATGAGCAAACGGAACTAGATGATCCCAAAAGTCTCTTAAAGCTTAAGACCCTGGATTCCAGCAGACCAGAGCGCCATGCTTGTAGTCAGCCTTCTCCTTCCAGTGCCTGGCATGTGGCAGACACTCGGAAAAGGTTGGGAAAATAGCCAAGGAATGGGGAAGCAAACTAGGTGAAGGTTCACCTTAAGTGCCTGCCTCCGCCTTTTTTACCCTTGGAACTAATTCTTCCAGGTAATTTACTCAGGAGTGGGTTTAAACCCAAGGCTGCGTTGACTTGCCTTCTGAGTATTCCTCTGTATTAAACGTCTTCCCACAGCTGGCTATGCCAACTCTTTGGGGCCTGTTTCCTAAGAAGGGGAACCAGGAACTGGCTGGAATTTATGCCATCCCAGTGAGCTGGTACCCCTAGATTCTGCAAGGCCCAACAAGGCCTCCCGCTCTCCCACAGGCACCATGTCGGCGAATACCAAGATGGTGGCCAAGCCCAGGTAGCCCAGCTCTTTCTAAGCATCTCGCCTCAAAGGCTTTGCTTGAGGCCTTGCTCTCCACATGTCTTTCCTTCCCAGTTTCCTTGGAAAGCCCTCAGATAAGCATGCCACTCGGACTGTATTTCATCTGCATAGTCCACGCAGGGCTTCCATGGGAGGAAAGGGGGCTGAAGAACACTAGACAGGGAGGGGGAAGTCCTGGATTCCAGCCCTCACACACCCCTAACTCCAGGGCATTGGAGCTCATCTCCAGCCTCTCCGGACCAAACTTCTCCTAGGCTTGGTCTAGCTGATGCCTGAGTTCCGGCCTCGTTTTCTTATCTCTGAGCCTGTGCTCAGCCTTGGAACCTGTCCGGGAAGCCTGCCCGTTGTTCGGGACTGTCCAGGTGCTGAGTGGCGGCAGGGGCCTCAGGCTGGGAGAGCCAGGGAGTGGGAAGCTGGGTGCAGGCTGGGGTGATGTGCTACGCCGCATCCCACTTGCTGACATTTGCTTTATTGCATTAGAGTCTTTCTCTGAAGGGTGAGTAAGTCCTCTAAATCAGGCCTGGGAGGATTACTCATAAGCCAGTGAGTCATTGGAGGGTAAGCCAAGTGAAGCCCCACAGCTGGGGATGGCTCTGTAGCTCTCATGCCCTTCACAGCCTCCCCATTAATTACAGCTCCATTTTGGCCAACATCAACTTTACACTGGCTTCCAGTGCTGGATGGGGAATTTAAGTTGGTGTTTTCTTCATCCCCAGTTTGGAAGAAACACCTCTCTTGGCCTCTAGCAACCTTTCAGGTAGAGATGTGTCCGGGAGAATAGAGATGTTAGTTCCCCCCTATTGTTTCCCTCTTGGGTCCATCCTTGCTCCTGAACTGGGCCCAATGGGTGAGCAATGTATGAGCAGCCACACATCCAGGTGCTCACCTGAGCTCTGTGTACCATGGTCTCTTTTGTGTGAGGACTGGGAAAAATGCCCCATCTCAATACCCTGAAAGGCTGTATGCATCTGAATTGTTGGTGGTTTATCTTCTGAACACCATAAAGCTCATGACTGCCCTTTCCCCTCCTTGCTCAGGCCACTAGGCAGCTCAGAACCAAAATTTTAGCCTACCTCTGGCAATTAAAAAAAAAATTAAAAAAAAAAAATATTTTTTTCCCCGCCCTTGACAATCCCCTGGCCTCCCCTACCCCCCAGTGTCTTATGTCCATTGGTTATGCTTATATGCATGCATACAAGTTAAAAATACATTTTTTATTGACTTCACATAGGAAGGAGAGAGAGAGAGAGGAAAAGAGAGAGAGAGGAGAGAGAGAACAATGATGAGAGAAAATCATTGATCGGCTATCTCCTGCATCCCCAGTCTGGGCATGTGCCCTGATGGGGAATCGAACTGTGACCTCCTGGTTGAACCACATCAGCCTGACTTATAGGACCTTATATCTTAAGGTTACATCTTAAACCTCACTCTTAACCAAATAATCCCTGGTCCTTCACATCTCAATTCAAACTTCACTTCTCCAGGGAAGCCCTCCAGATGCCCAGGCTAGGTTAGATGTCCCAGTTCTATCTGCCATAGTTCCCTACCTATATCTTTTCTGCATATTTCACCAAACCTTAAAAAGTTTTCATTTACCTCTGATTATTGTATCAAAGTTCATCTTCTCCAGACTAGAAATATCAGGAGAGCAGAGATTACATGGCATTTCAAGAGGGACCCATCTGATTTATAGTAGGTATTCAAACTAGTGTGTTTACAGATTGGGCAATGAAGGGGTTGAGACTATGTTATATGAAGAAGAGTTGGGAAAGGTAGTGATGTTTGGCCTGGAGGGGAGAGCCAGTGATGTGTCTAACTGAAGTCGCATAGAGTAGTGTCTAGGAAGTTCAGCTGGAGTTTCAAAAACCCAAGTTTGCATTCTGTCTCTGCTACTTGCTAGCTGTGTGGACATGGACAAAGTACTGCATTTCCCTAAACCTTGAAGTTATTATCCATAAAAGGGGAATACTAATTGAATCTACCTTGTGGGTACAATTTTTTAAGAGTAAATGTTATGAGAAATAATTGTCTGGTATGAAGTTAAAGACATAACAAGTCCTCAATGAATAGCGGTCATGATTATTAATTACAATAATTGCAGCAGTGAACTACCCACTGCTGTGAAGGTTCGGCAGGCAGAACTGGGGTTTCTATCAGAAAGGCTGTGATGGAGAGATTCAAGCCTCAGGGCCTTTGCACGAACCCTTTCCTCTGCCCGATCCCTCCCTTCTTCACCTGCTCATGTATGGGCCTCCTTAGTACCTCACTCCGATTTCACTTCCTCAGGAAAGCCTTCTGAGATTTCAGGATTCTATATTAAATGCTCTCCTGGCACCTATGCCTTCCCTTCAGAGCAATATCAAAGTGGGAATTAATGATACTCATAATTTTTATTGATTGATTTTTAGAGATAGAGGAAGGGAGGGAGGGAGTGAGTGAGGGAGGGAGGGAGAGAGAGAGAGAGAAAGAGAGAGAGAGAGATTAGTTTGTTGTTCCACTTATTTATGCATTCATTGGTTGAGTCTTGTATGTGCTCTAACTGGGGATTGAACCACAACCTTGGCATGACGGAACTACGCTCTAACCAACTGAGCTACCTGACCAGAGCTGATCATAATTTTGAAAGATCAGGTTTATTGAGGTATAGTTTACATAGTATAAAATTCACCTATTTTAATTGTAGTTAAATGATTTTTTTAGAAATGTATATATTCAGTGATATAACCACCACCCCAATCAAGATATGGACTTTTATTCACCCCCCAAATTTCCTTGTGCCCTTTTTTTTTTTTAATATATTTTATTGATTTTTTACAGAGAGGAAGGGAGAGGGATAGAGAGTCAGAAACATCGATGAGAGAGAAACATCGACCAGCTGCCTCCTGCACACTCCCCACTGGGGATGTGCCCGCAACCAAGGTACATGCCCTTGACCGGAACTGAACCTGGGACCTTTCAGTCCACAGGCCGATGCTCTATCCACTGAGCCAAACCGGTTAGGGCTCCTTGTGCCCTTTTGCATTCACTCTTTTCCCACTGCAGACTCTGGCAATTAATTTGCCTTTTCTAGAATTTTATATAATTTCATACAGTATGTAGGTTTTTTAGTCTGGATTATTTCACTTAGCATAATGCATTTGAGATTCATTCAGATTGTCATGACTACTAATACTTTATTCCTTTATATTATTGTAGCAATATTGCATGATATGGATATGCCAACGTTTGCTTATCAATTTACCCATTGATGGACATTTGGGTTATTTCCAGCTTTGGGCTCTTATGGATAAAGCTGTATGGACATTCATGGATGTATTTCTGGACATATGGTAAGTATATATCTAATTTTATAAGAAACTGCCAAACTTTTTTAAAATTGGTAATACCATTTTGCATTGCTACCATTAATGAATGCGAGTTCTGGTTGCTCCATATCCTAGCTCATACTTGGTATTGTCTGTTTTTTGTGGGGGTGGGGTTTAGGTTTTTGTTTGTTTTTTAGTTGAGCCATTTTAGTAGTATGTAGTGGTACCTCACTGGATTTTTAAATTTGTATTTCCATAATTACTAGTGATGTGGAGAATTATTTCATGTAATTATTGGCTGTTCATATATTTTCTTTGGTAAAGCATCTGTTGAAAGTTTTTAGATAAACTTATTGTTTTATTATTGAGTTTTAAGAGTTATTTATATATGCCATTGATTTATATGTCTATCCTTATGCCAGTACCACACTATCTTGATTACTATAGCTTTGTAGTAAGTTTTGAAATCAAGAAGTGTTTATTCAATTGTTTATTCTTCTTTTTCAAGATTGTTTTGGCTCTTCTGGGTCTCATATTTTTATATGAACTTTAGTATCAATTTGCCAATTTCTGAAAAGAAGGCAGCTGGGATTTTGATACAGCTTATGTTTAATCTGTCGATCAATTTGAGGAGTATTGCCATTTTAACAATGTTAAGTCTTCCAACCCATGAACATGGGATGCCTTTCATTTATTTAGATCTTCTTTAATTTATTTCAACAATGTTTTGTAGTTTTCGTTGTACAAGTTTTACACTTCTGTTGTTTCTTAGTTTTTTTTTCATGACATTGTAAATGAAGTTGTTTTCTTATTTTCTTTCTTTTTTAAAAAATATATTTTTATTTAT